AGGAGGAGGAAGAAGAGGAGGAGGAGGAGGAGCAGGAGGAGCGGGGGGCCTCCCGGAGCCCGCCGGGCGATAGGTAACCCTGCGTCTGGGCCCGGGCTGGGGCGGGGAGCCCGGGCTCCCGCACTCGCCTCCTCCGCTTGAGGCCTGTGTTGGGGGCGAAGGATTATCCCACGTAACTACGGATTTGTTGGCAGAGATAAGCGCTTCAGGGAACTCATTCCCTTGTTGTGGTGTCCTGGTCTTTTCTATGGGCGGTGAAGTGTTTTCATGGGTTTGTAAAACGCCTGTAGGCTGCTGAGCAGAGCCGCGGGGTCTCTGCACGTGGAAAAGATGCATTTATTCCCTTAATCCTTTTCAGTGTTTTTAGAGACTTAACGGGCTGTTTTGCTTGGTGTATGTACCTACATGCAGCGTCAGGTTTGTGTGTATCCATTGCACGGTTCTTGTTCCCGTGGCCTGATTTCATTCCCTTTTAATTACATGCAAACTGAATAGGTCTTTTTTCCCTCGGGATCTCCTCTGCTTGACAGGAGAAGAAACAATCCATACACCTCCCTTTCAAATAGAAGGCAGGAAAGCAGGGAGTGCCTGGAATGCAGCCCTAGCGATGGAAACTTCCCAGGTCTGTGCAGTAACTGGTGGTGGATGTAACTGACAAGGCTGAACTGAACTGAAAGTGCCAGTGGGGAAAGGGAAGGACAGCTGAACTTCAGGGGACTGCTGGCTTCCAGCGTGGGGTTTTCCACCTCCTGTGGAGAGCACATCTCCCAGCTGGACTGAAGGAGGATGGGCCACATCAGACTTTTATTGGAAAAGGTTCTGACAGCCCAGGACAAGTGTTCAGGTGTAGTCAGAAATAGAAGCTTCAGAGTGAAAAGGGTATTAGCCTGTTTATAGTCCCAACTTGAAGATTTCTGTTAACATTTCCTTTTACTCCTTCCCAGTAACCAATTTTGTTGATGTACCTTGAGGTTCTGTAGCACTAAATTGGAACTACTGTGTGTCTTTGCAGCTTGAGATGCTACTTGAAGCAGCTCTCAATTTTTGGGCCTGTTGCTGTAGTCTTCCCTGGCAGTGGCAGGGTGCAGCTGCTAGGACCTGAACTGGAACAGCCTCCTTAAACTCTGTGGGCACAATATATACTTCACTCATCCAGACACTGTGTCTGAATAATACTGCTGCTGTCTTATAATAAGTGTTCATATAGCAGCTTCCGTGTAGAGGTGCCAAGATCTCAAAGGTATAATAACAAAAAACACTTCTTCTTACACAGCCGCTCCCCCCCCCCATATGCACACACTCTCTCAAAGAGTCTTTTTGTTGTTGTTGTCTTAAAACTACACAAAAATTAGCCAGAGGCAGGCATTTAACGTGGGAAAAACAGTATTTGCAAAAGAGAGAGGCTGAAAACAAGGCTTTGTGAAATGGTGTTAGGCATTTTCATACTTTATTATAGATCAGTGTTATGTTTGATGGCATGACTTAAGTGAATATATATGGTAAATGATAATCACAGTGTTTTCTATTAATCAGACTTAGTTCTAATGCCAAATGTAACAAATTTAATTTAAGATATTTAAATACAAATGTGCTCTTGAGAACGTGGTACTTTGAGGAGTCTGTTATTTTAATTATTTTGAGGAAGGCCAGAACTGTGAACATGCTAACATTTCAGAAAGTGATCCCATGAAGTTCAAGGTTGTTGTGGCTAAAATACATAATCATTGTGCCAGGGAGAGTGTGACTGGTGGCTGGGATGCACACTGAGGAGGACTGTGTTCCAGTCTGTGCTCTGGTACAGTCTGAGAGCTGTAAACAAAGGACTGCAGAAGAGGAGAAATGTTTCTCCTGACAGTTCTTCATATTCAGCTTGTGTTTTCCTCTGTTTAACCCTTGTTTTATGTTCTTACTTGCAGACAATAAGTTTTTAATTTATTGCTGTGAATTATTTTTTGAGAAGTTAACAGCTTGAACTTTAAAATTACAGATAAAGAAAAACACCTAGTAAATAATGTTTTTCTTAATTCATTCCTTCTACTAGTACTTTTTCTCAGGTTAGTCTAATGTGTCAGCATTGTTCTAGTACAAAGTACCATAATGCAAATTGAGCACAGCAAAAGAATGTGTGGAGGAAGTATCCCTGCCCAAAATGTCAAGTCTGGACAAAGCTGTGTTGGTTTCCTGAATTTGAATACATAATACTTCTATCCTTATCTTTAATGAACTCTCAGAGAGTTCTTTTCTAACAAAATGTGTTACTATGCATACCTCAGTGGCATCCCTTATTATATGTACCTGTTTAAAAGCTCTCTTCATTAAGTTTTTGGGCTGTGGCATAAAAGCCCCAGGGTTTTGCAGAATGTGTTGGACAGCTTGGGAGGGCTGGGCCTGTGATGCTGCTGTACAGGTGCTCTCGGTGTGTCAGGGTGTTCTAGCAGTTCTGGTGTGCCACATCTCTGTGGCAGCATGCTATAAAGAGGGTGGGGGGCTGATTCAGGAAAAGCAGTGCTTTTTCAGGTTAGTTTCAGGTGAATCAGTTCCCCAGGGCATGTCACAGCATGGTCCTGTTGGCACACAAATGGGTGACAGCAATGGAGAAGAAGAGTGGCACAAAACTCCTTAGCACTAACTGTCTCCAGATGCTTTGTAGTACAGAAACGTTTGTCCTGGTTTGACTGAGATGTAAATGCTGCACTGCTGTTCCCTGAGGGCGTGCAATACTTCTATATTGATAGAAACCAAGTATCTTAAAAGACTTACTTCAGAAGCATTGACATAATATACTTGTTTAGATGGGTCTTCTGTAGCTTAAATTCAGCAAACAGAATTACTGTAGTGGAGTATGTAGGTAGATGTTTCCAGAGCCCATGTATCCATATAAAACACTAAAGTGAAGTTCAGTTTCACTGCTTTGCTGTTAAGAAAAAATTCTGTAGAAGACAGAAGAAACCTTATAAAGAAATCTATTGACATGTTTTTAATTTTCATTGACTTAGAGCCTAATATTCTGTCTTATGAAATATTACAGGTATAGAATATTATAAAATATATATCTGGCCTGGGGCTAGGATTGCTGCATTATTAATGAGTAAAGAAGTTATGAGTGAGTTATGCAAGGTATACTATTAAAGGCCTAATAGAACCTTGTATAATATCATCAGGTATTGTATGCAAGCCATATTTCTTAAGTTTGTTTCCTGTGAAGGGTTTTTAGGGTGGAAAAATACCTATTAAAGTGAGTAATTCTTAATGCTGTTTGATATAATGAATTCAGTTCCATAGGGCTTCAAAGAAGAACAAATGTTCTTGCTTGTCCTTTGCTTATACTAAAGGCCACATGATCCATGGAGTCTCTCTGACCAAGGACAGAATGTTAATATTAAATTTCTGATTTCCCTTGGTCTCTATATGGGAAAAGGAAGGTGACACTTTGATGTTTCTGATGTTAGATTTTGTTTAGTTCATAAAAGGTAATGCTTGAATCAGTTCCACAGTTTGGAAAAGGGGGCAGAAAATCACTAAGGAGCTAGAATTTAGTGAGTAGAACAGAAGGGGAGTGGTCAGAGGTACTGTGCATGTGCCAGTTATCCATCTTGAAGATGGCTAAGCTAGTAGAAAAATAATGGCATTGTTGTCACAACCTGCCATAAATGTCATTTTTCAAGGCAGTAGCACTGCTTAGCCATTCAAGCAGCTACATGCCAGTTAACATGCTTTTACTGTTGTTTTTTTCTAATTCAGGAGAGCTGAAGACTCTGAAATATCAGGAGAAAAAAAAGAGTCACCCTTAAAAGATAATCTGTCACCATGGGAAGAAAAAAAAGAGTCACCTTTGAAAGACAACCTGTCACCATGGGAAGAATGGTTCATTGGCAAAGAGAAGGAACTACGTGCTCGCTCACAAGCTAAAGCTCAAGAGGTGAATGCATCTTACTTTTATGTGAAGTATAAGGCAAGATAACAAGAACCAAAATAAGGGACTTACTTTTAAATTTTGATTGTGGCACCAGTTGTTTCTGTCCATTATCTTTCAGTGTCCTGGGCCTCCACAGTGTTTGTGTTTGACAGTGCTGATGTGATTCATGCTACACTCATCCTTTTTGTTAAATGTTATGATTTATTGAAGTGGTGCTGTATAATATTCTGCTTATCCAACTGTCAGTTAATGGTTAGGGTTTAAAGGATTAAAACATATTTTTATAATTGGTATCCTGATTCCCATCATGGAATACGATGGATATGACTGCATGCAGATAGTAAAACATGACAGGGCATGTGCTGGGTGTAAGCATGCCAAGCTACTTGTTTAGATATGAGGCACAGTTTTGTTACCCACTTGGTGTGTAATTATACAAATGCTTGGTGTCCTTTCCCAGCATAGGTTTCCTTGTCCCAGCATTTTTTTCCCCTCCTTCCATCTTTTGCCCCCTTGCAAATGAACACTTCTGGAATATTTGGACTGGGGCAGAATTCAGTGAGCACATTTTTATCTTTTCTTGATTAATATGTTTGTAGTTGCAGTTGATTAAATTATACTGTTGTTTAACATCAAATTGCAAGTATTGAGTAGTGGTTAGAACAATCACATCCAAGTTAGATAGTTTCTCACTTTAGTTACTGATTCACTGTTTGACCTTGAGTCATGTCCTAACCTTTTTGTGATTCACTTGGGGATTTTGTGATTCATCTCTGTAAAGTGAAATTATTTTATCTTTATAGGACATACAGTAAATAATTTCAGGATTTCTTATCTTACAAGTAAAGCTTCTGCTTCAATGTTTGCTAAAATCTGCAATAATTTTGGCTTTAATAAGTTTTGTATTAAACCCTAAGGTTCCTGTTATTCAGGTTCTGAACATCACAGGTAATATTTCACTTAGCTATCAATGCCTTCCTGAATGCAGAGGAGAAAACTGTAAGCATTGTAGAAAAGTACTACTGCAAATTAAGATTCTATTGACTGAAAGGACATTTAACTAAGTTGAGTGATTTGTTACACTGGATTGTTTCCAAAGCCTATTTAAAATACATATTTCCAGTTCATTTCTAAAATTATGTATTTCTATTGATTGTATTTAATGATATTTGTGTTGACTGTCATCCGTATCATCCAAAATCTTAACAAAGGAAAAATTTCATAATGTAATGCTTACATTAGATGAACTGCAGCACTGTTCAGTGCTGAGTGTGCTGGTGTAGGTGGGCACCTCAAGTCAAGATATGTACTTCTTCTTATATTAGGAAATGAATATACAGCTTGAGAAGATGAAACAAAAGCAAGAATGTGAAAGGAGGAAAAGGATAGCTGAAGAGAAGCACAAGGAGTGGGTCCAAAAAAAAAGAGAAGAGGTAAATACTGCCTTGACTGCAAATCTAGCACATATCATGCTTAAGTAAACATATGTAAAACATACTTGAACTGTTTGGGACAACAATGTTTTTAGTTCGCTGAATGAATGGCTGTTTTAACTGAAAATTATAAAACCACACCAACACAGTTAAACATTTTTCCAAGACTGACTTCTTTTTTTTCCATAAGGTATAAAGAGATTTGTTTTCTGAGTAGTCAGATAACTGACAATTGACCTTCTGCTAATTATAACTGGAGTTTTGGTTTTCAGTATATCTTCCTTTTTCTGACTTCCTAGATCCAATGCCCAAGCATTTTGGGTAAAGTGTACATCTTAACTGTCTGCAATGTCTTGTACACCAAGTAGAGCCAGAAGAAGGTTTTAGTTGACTAGCACTGTGGACAGGCAAATAGTATGGTAGAATTTAGAGGGATAATTGAGGTGTGAGGCCAGATTCAGGAAATTCTCAGTAGACCACAGTTAGCGACTGGGAATTCCTTCATCCAAAAAGTAATTTATGAGTGGGATCAAATATTTTTTTTTAAGCTCTCTTGAGAGGGATGCCTAAGTCCAGGGTTAGAAGCAACCAGAATCCTGACCTCCATGGGGCACTGCACAGTGTGCTCCCTGTGACACAAAGCAAGCATGTGTTTTGGGTGGCAAAGATAGGAATGTTTGGGGGGCTTGGGCTTGTTCAGCCCTGAATAGTTTGTGGGCATATGCATTAATTGTCTTGTGGTCTGTAGCAATACCAGTTGTTTACAGTTCTATACTTCTAGTTCTGAATAAAAGGAGATGAAAATTCATTTAAAATATCACCATGGCACTAGCTGGGCTAGATGTCCAGACTTCATATATTTGTCTTCATTTCAGAACTCCTTGAAATTCAGTCTAGAACCACTAGAATAACCTGTGTTTAGATCTAACCTAATTACTTTTAAGACTCAGTGCTGACTGGATGATTGGCATAAACTTGCCTCAAAACCAGTCCTGCTCTCAGCATTTATTATGATGTAGAAAGGGACCTTTCTTACTAAAGTATACAGCAGAAAGTAGAAGATTCATTATTCAACACAAACAATACCATTTTCCTCTTTTAAAATGCAAATGAAGTTATAGATGTCTGTAACTATTCATTGGCTTGAAAGAGTTTGGGCTGCCTGTTAAAATTTGTTTACAAACAAAAGTTCAAAACAGTGAAAGTTCTCATTTTCCCTCCTTCCTCTCCTCCCCCCCCACTTCAACTTCCATAAACTTCAAACTGTTTGGGTCTTCCAAAGATCTGTGTGGATTTACTGATTAACTTCTTTTCTCATGACAATGGGAATAGGAGGTCTTTTTTTATGGTAATCACATCAGCACAGACGACAAGGGAAAAAACATATTTGTGTCTGGACTTTATCATATTGTATTTTTGAAGGATAAGGTCATCCTTAGGCCATGTCCCAAGCTTTTACCAAAAGTAATCTGATTTTCATTTAAATCCGATGATTCACTGGCTAGACTTTTCTGTAAACCACACTCAAATCAAGAACACACTAAACTTAAAAGCTTAGCTGTCTGTAGGGTATTAACATTTGTATTGCATGGACCTTCAAATTTCCACAAGATTATGTGTGGATCAGTACACAGACTGAAGGACAAATATGTCAATTCAGTGGCTAAGAAGGTGTTTAAAATTGTGTGAAGATTTCACATGAAGTTAAAGTTTAGATTCATGTGCACTGACAGTTGCTGTGATTTTCTTGGGGAGCATGAACACATCTCATATTTGGGAAAGCTCACTTCATTTCCTCCTAGAAGGTTGTAAAGGTGCTCCTTGAAGCAAAACTCACAGTATTCACTAAAATATGCATTAAGCAACCTTCTTCATAACCAGGTGCTGATTCTGAGCCTCTGTGTGTAGACTGCAGAAGATGCTTTACTTGAGAGGACCCAGTACTTTTGGGGATGGTCATGATCCCAAGTCTGTCTCCTTTCCCATTGGGGAATACTGAAGGAAGTAGGATATGGTTGAGTGAACATGAAACTTTCCTTCATCTTGAGCTTCCATCACCAGGAGACACTGCATCTTCTTACTGTGATTGTGAGAGATACATTTATGTTAGCAGTAAATGTTTGTAAGAGCATAAAAGTTCTCTGCCATGCATTTTGTTGCATGACAATGCCAGTTGTGATGCTGTGTTAAAATATAGCCCTTTAGGGTCAGGTTAGGCAGCAGAGCTTGAGTACTAGTTTTGTTCCCTGAAAGTTAAAATTTTTATTGTTTAGAATATATTTTAAACTATATGCTGTGAATTTTTTGTATTCTTCCG